GGGGAGTCAGGTCACGTGGTACCGCCGCCTGTTCTCCCCTCAGGGGCGCCGCCATGACAGTGCGGGGATGGGCAGTGGGGCTGTGAGGGTTCGCTTGGCTCTCGGGTCAGACCCTGCGGCTCCGTGAGAGGCAGAAGGCCCTGTCCCACCACTCTGTGTCCCCCTGAGGGCTTTGATTCCACCCCGTTCATGGTTGCCCGCACACCTTAGGCCAACACCTTAGGTATCAGGCAGGCGCCATGGCGGCCAGGTGTTTCCACAGGGAACAGGCCCGGTGCTGTGCTCCCGGGATCTCGGCACAGCCCCAGCGCTGTAGCTGTTGCCTGAACTTGCACGGGCAAACCCGTCAGGCGGGCATGCAGGGCCAGGTGGCACCAGAAACCCTGCGTGGCTTTGAGAGCAGCTGTTTCCTGGTGTGTGTGGCAAGGTACCAGTGAGCTTGGGCAAGTGCAGGCAGCCCCAAAAGCCTAATATTCCTGTTCCTATCCACGCATTTCCTCCTCAGGCTGGATTTCCCTGCCTGAAATGAGCCCACGGTGGGGGCATGCTACTGCTGGGGGGGTTTGGCACTAGGGCTCGGAGCTGCCTCGTCACCCCCTCCCTGGCTCCACAGTCTCCTCTGGACAAAACCAGGCAGTTTTGGGGGTGTTTTATTCTTGCTGGAGCTTTGTGGGTGAGGGCCACACCAGCCTGTCACCACTAGATGGCAATCGGTGACCGCGGCGGGTGGCTCTCTGGCTGCTGCGGTGCCCTGGCATCCAGGGGCGGCATTTCGGGACACAGCGGCCACATCCCATAGCAGGGGATCAGCGGCACGGCATCGCCGCTGCCTCCCGCCTCCGCGGCGCCAATTTCCTAAGCTGTCCTGGGGACTTTTGTAGCCATTAAAAGTTTGTTGTTTTTTTTTTAAATAACTTTAAAATATTTTTTCTTGCAGCATCCTGCGATAGAGAGTCCCCTGAGTGAGCAATAGGCAATAGACATGGTCTCACCCTGAGGAGATGAAGGAAGAGCCGTGGGTGTTTGCGTACATCGCCAACGCCGCAGGTGTGTTAATGCAAGTCACGAGTTGTTAGGGGACACGCAGGGACAAGCTGACCTCGGAGCTGGAGCAGCAACGCGAGCTGGGCGGCGTGTGGTGGCTATAAACAGCCTCTCCCTGTTGTTTGTATATACAGGGAGATGGAGCCGAGCCCTCGAGGGGGACTTTGGGGAGTGTTTGGACCCGCAAAAAGAAGCCCCTGGGTTTGACAGCCAGGCCGGGACCGTGGTCCTGGCTCACGCCGCTGCTTGGGGCTTCCTCGCGGGTGATGGGTGCGGGTGGGTGATGATTTGGTGACCTTCCAGGTGGGCCAGTGGCTGAACAGCTGAGGGAATGGTTCAGAAATAGAGTGGCGGCGAAGAAATGAGTCACCCCTGGGGCTGGAAATAAACGGGGCCACAGGCACCGGAGGGGAGCTGGAGCGGCTCCTCACCCGTGGTTTTGTGGGGAAGGAGGAATCGCTTGACCCATTTACCGAGACACCTCTCGAGGTTGAACTTGCAGCCCTTTTGGGGAAAAAGGATCAAAAAATCATTACAAAAAAGGCAGAGGCAACAGTCAGGTGGTCTCAAATAATTTATCACAAGCTGTATATACAGAGAGAAGCTCCAGCACAGGGTCAGGGAAGGGAACCTCGCTCCCCGCTGCCAGCGCGGCTCTTGGAACGCTGGATCTTCCCCCTCAACCCTCGCCGGCCACAAACCCCCGGAGCCGGGGCTCCCCTCCCAAATTTGTCTGGTGGGCAATAGGATGCAAGCACAGGGCTGACCCCACAGGGGGGAACATTCCTGTCCCCTACCCCACGTCCTCCCTCCTTCTCAAATTACCCAATTAATTCACGAGGTGGGGAAAGGGGTGGGGAAAGGGACACCCCTGACCCCTCAGATCTTGATCTCAGTCCGGAAGGTTTGCTGGACGTGCTCGGTGTGCTTGGCGGGCTGGCGCTGAGCCCGGATGGTCAACGTGCCATCATCCCCCAGCGAGGACGACACTGATGTGGGGTCCACGTCTTCGGGCAGCTGGCATTTGTGGGTGAAGGTGTTCATGACGGTGCCATCAGCAGCCAGCTGGGAACAAAAAACAAACAAACAAACATACCAAATAACAAAAAAATGGGTGAAAAAGGGGAAATTTTGGGGTGCAGATGGGATGGGCACTCGTCGTTCCCCTTGAGTCAGAGGCTGGCGGTCACACCTTGTGCGTGGTGGTAATTCTCTCCCCGAGGGGATGCACGGGATGTGGTTGAGGATTTTGGGGTTGCGCGGGGAAGAGAGGAAGCACCCACCTTCTCAGCATGCACCTCGATCTGGTTGTTGGAGGTGGTGACGATGATGTCCTCGGGGGCGAAGTCGCTGACGTCCACCGTGAACTGATAGGTGTTGCCCAAGGTCTTCACTGCGCCGGTGTTGCTGGGACGAGCTGCCGGAGAGGGAGGGCGTCACAAACAGGGCTCATCAGGGTCCCTCCAAACATCTCAGGGGGGTCACAGCCACATTTCGGTGGGGATGTCCCCCCCAAATGCCTCTCCTATGGCTC